GCGAGGGCCTGCAGGGGCGGCGCGCCGACCTGACGGGCCTGCAGAGGCGGCTCTCGGGCCTGACGGGCCTGCAGAGGCGGCTCGGGAGGGGCCTGACGGACCTGCAGGGGCGGCTCGAGGGCCTGACGGGCCTGCAGAGGAGGCTCGGGGGCCTGACGGACCTGCAGGGGCGGCTCGAGGGCCTGACGGACCTGCAGGGGCGGCTCGAGTGGCCTTACTAGCTTGCAGGGGCGGCACACTGGCCTAGGGCAGTAGGAGGCAGCGCAGGCAGAACGAAGGGCGGGGCGCGCGAGGGCGCACTCGCAGAGAAAGGCGTACGAGGGCGCACGGAAGGTAGGGCGCACGAGGGCGCTTCTAGCGGAATAGTGGGCCCGTAGTAGTAAGCGGTCCTAGGTGGCAACCTAGGCTCGTGATACCATGTTAAAATAACGAGGAATGATTGCATTGAGCAGCATGAGGAGTACAAGTACCAAACCCTAAAGTGTTGTACCCCATATGAGCTACCCCACTATAGCCTACACAGACTATAGCATATAAGTTTGACAGAGTTGCCTCTCCCCACCACGCTTCGAACGCCACCTTACCAGTAGCGCAACGTGGTGAGGCGGCAAATGTCATTGCATCTGCTGGAAATGGCGGTACGTTTTACTGAGTACTCGTCTGTTTGTGTCAATGTTTTTTTCGTTGTTGTTTCAACCGGCCTTGTTATGAATAGTTAAGTTTCATAACGTTATGCTCTAATTAAATCTCCCTTTTATTTTCAGGCGTGCGCTCGTCCGATCGTGATGTTCATCACCCTGAGGCCAACTCGTATAACCACATCGACGATGCCATACGCGGCGAGCTGAAAGAATTTCGCACTCCGATGCTGCGAATTGAAAACCGGCTTCATGAGATCCACCAGACACTGGCTTCTACTGTCAAGAATCTTCTCGAGATTGTTCATCAACCGAGTTGGTACAACGAGAAAACTATGGAGGTATGTTTCATGTTTTCTTTTGTTTGGTTGTTATTTCCTGCTAGTTTTAATACTTTCTACTAATCGTGTTGTTCCGTCTTGCACGATGCTTGCAAGAAGGCCTGCGATGATCTGCTCAAGGGCCCTGACGTCTCCGCGCGTGTCATTTACCCCGACGAAGACCAATTCAAGGCGGCCGTTGTGGTGCACCTCGCCCTAAAACCCAAAGACTTCGGGAAATTCAATGACTTCTGGAAGAAAGGCGAGTGGGCGAAGGAAATTTGCAACGGCTGGCGGGGGAAACTTGGTAACATGTCTCGGAAGGCAAGTTTCAAGCTGCTGAAGTACCCTGACGGCAAGGCAATGAAAGACTCCGTTGACGATCGGCGCTCTTATGCGCGATCCTGCGTCTCTGGTACGTGTTCACTGTTTGCCACTGCTCTCGTTATTACTGGTGTCTTACACTTCTGTTTCTCTTTGTGTAGAGGAGTTTGGCCTGCCGTGGCATGCTGAGGCGGAAAAGCAGTTCTGTAGCGAGGCGTTTTTAGCTGCTGCAAGCAAGTGGCAGAAGAAAGAGGGTGGTGTATTCTCCCTCAGCATTGATCAGCTTTGCTACACAATGGTCGCGGTGAGTTTCTTTGCTTCTTTATTACGTGTCTTAATTATTTACCATTTAATTTAATTGCACTTGTTTTGCTTGGCAGGTGGAGTTTGAGATGCTGTCTCGTGAACAAAGCAGCATGTTTTCTGATTCAGAGAACAACACCCGCGAGATGGACAAGAGGAGGGCCCAGGTTGAGAGCTGGGTCCGTCGTGCAAGCATCCCGTTAGTTAGTGGGTTTTACTACTTCGGAGATGTTATTGTGAAGGATTGGCAGATTGTAGAGGATATCTTGGAGCTTGCTTTAGCTTTAGCGGATGTAGATTTAGTTTAGTATATGTCATTCTGTTTCCTAATTTCTAACCATTTTATAAACTAGAGTTCGTTGATCAATAGTGCAAATTACAGTTTTCTGTGGGTAATTCGAAGTCATACTTTATTTTTTTTTAATGTAGCTTCTCATAGTCTCGAGGTTGATATTGTTCAGCTCGTAAACAGTGTAGTTATCACAATTAAAGATTCTTGCTTTGTCACTTTTCCATTGAGGCACAAATATCCAATAACAATTACGCTGCCGCTTTTGATATATACATTTTCTGATCACGTGGTAACCAACAATCTCAAAATTGTTACGGCTGTGGTTACACCCAAATTTTTGGGTCTCGCATGTGCGAGGGCCATCTTATCGACTACGAAGGTAACAAACTCGATTTGCTCGCCCCAACTGACACGCGATGCGCAACTTACACAATGCAGTCGCCTCGCAGGCTGGTTTCGGCACTGCGCAGGTTGACTGCAGGGTGGTTCTGTTTTCCCACAATTACCCCCCCGCATTAAAAGCAGACTGACAGGACTCCCGAAATCGGGAGTCACCGGGAAGGCTTCCAGCTAATTGCTGGAAGCCTCAGTTCTTCGTGCGATGAAGCTCCTGGATAAGGAGGTGCGGCTGGAGATTGTGAAGACCCAGCAGCAGGCGGCTGACGTTCTCACCAAGTGCCTGGCAGAACCTGAGCACTGGAAGGGCATGAAGCTTGCTGGAATGAGTGTGCATTGAGTGTGCATGCATGAGCTGAGGCATGCGAGATGATGGTTGGCAGCCAGAGGGGGAGTCTGTTATGTGATGCTATCATTCGCATTCACGTCTGTCTGCCTCCCATCATATGTTCGTGCGTTGCATGCGTGGTGTGGGTGTGTGCAAGAATATGTGTTTTGTGCGGTTTGGATTTTCTGAGTGTGTGTGAATGTGATATGGCTTGAGCGGATATCTGAAGTGACTCTTCTGCTCAAGCTTTCCGTCGAACCAAGAATCGTTTCAATCGGAGCACGAACAAGAAAGTTACGAACGTTCGAAGTTCGTATACTTTCACATTTGGTTGCGACGACTATGGGAACTTTGCGGGTTGACTCAGTATGGGGTATAGACTTTTTGGGGGTTGGGAAATTCGTCCCCATCAGTGTAGATGCTGCCATGTGGTTGGAAGAAGCCAAACCAGGTTGGCAAGTGTGGCCAAGTTGGGTGAGGTGGATGGCATGGGTTGGAAAGTGACAAAAGTAAAAGTGGGGTTGCCATAGGAAGGGGATTTGATGTGCTTATGGGGTTTCCTAGGTTGGGGACTCCTTGGGACCTTCCCTCTCGTCCTCCTCTTCCCTCCTACCTACTTTCTAGCCACTCCAACCTTCTTGTGTGGTACTTGTGAGAACTTGTAAAACAATTGTGATTGAGTTAATACTTCATGCCAGCTTACCCCCTAGTGTGCCGAAATTCATAACTCGAGTTCTACTCCGTCTTTTGATACGATTCAAATTGGAAAAGATAGCCACGGTTAAGAGCTACATCATATTAGAGTTTGAGACAATTCTAACGGTGCACTTTTCGTTGACGACGTTTCTTGTGAAGTCGACGATACTGTCCAGAAATTCAGACCAACGATTTTGTGATATTTCGGCCCCATAACTTCCTAGACTCCGTCCTTAGTCTTTAACAGACATGGGAGGATGGAGGTGGGGCAGGTTGGGGTGGATGGGTTGATGACGCTGAAGTTTTTGGGGATGACCATGGTCGACGGTAGGAGCGGGATGGGAGGTGGTAGTTGCCGACGGTGACAGTTGCGTTACGCCAATAGATTCGCGGTCCAAGCTGATATAGCCACGGTCGACCAAGAACGCCTTTGTAGCCGCCGAAGTGCATCTGCTCGAACGTAACCGTCACTTCGAGGCTTCCAAACATGCAGGGCACGGGGAGGAGGGTAGGTCCGCAGCGCCGCCGAGTACCATCTGCCATGATCACGTCCTGTGGGGTGCTGTTGGGATCTTCGGGAAGAGATAGTTCAGCAACAATTGAGGGAGAGAGAAAATTTGCTGAAGCGCCGGTATCGAGTAGAAAATCTACGTAGCGGTCCTTGATTTTTGCCCATATGATGATGGCGGGGTATGGAGCGTTTAACATGGTGTACAGTTCAGAGGTGCCGATGAATGATGGGGTTGGGAGAAGCGGGGCATGCGACGCGCCAAAGGTCCGCCCCACTGCTACTGGCGCTGTCCGTTTCCCCGTCCTTTGTTTGGGCTTCGACGATTGGGGCAATTACGCTTGATGTGCCCAATCTTCCCGCATTGGTAGCACATGACGTTTGAGGAATTCCGCGGCTGCCTCTCCATCATTCCCTGCTCCATAGGTGTAGGACCATTTGCACGAGCAGCTGGAGCGTGATTCGTGTGGCCCATCCTCATGCCATTGAAGCGTTGGAACGCAGCGAAGTTGATCGTGTCGAAGCGCTCCGCCACACGGATCATGTCATCCATTGACGTGCATCCGCGCAGCTCCACCTCGGTGCGTATCTTTGGTTTCAGCCCGCGCTTAAACTTATCCATCTGCTCGGAGGCAGGGATATCGGGAATCTCCAACACCAACTCTCGGAAACGGTTGACGTATTCGGCTACGGAGCGGTGTTGGCGTAGTGCAGCGAGGTTGTCCCGGGCGCGTTCAATCGCGTTGACGGGTTCGAAGTTGATGGTGAGTGATGCTGAAAATTCTTCCCATGTTGAAATTGTAGAGTGGCAGCTCTGCCACCAAGTAGCAGCAGCTCCTCGCAGCATCATGCCAGCGTGACGCGCCCTTTCGGCTTGGTTCACGTGGCATAGGGAAAGGTACTCCTCCATTTGGAAGAGCCACCTTCGCACTGGTAGTAGGTCTCGTTTTCCAGGGACAAATGGCTCAGGTTCCGGTGCTTTCAGACGTGCAGAGACCACAGCAGGTGCTGGCGCCGGCACCTGTGTGCGCAGGAGTCCACGTTCCTGGAGTTCGCCGAGAATCCCGTCACGCACTCGCGTTCAATTTCTCGGCGCATATTGGCGACAAACTCGTTCCAGAGTTCCGGCGTCATGTCAGACGGCCTAGCCATAGGGACAACCTCGCGCCAGCCAGGGACAACCTAGCGTCCCGCCATGGACGCTTCTCCCCTCCGTCCTCGCGACCGCCCTCGTGCGCTCTCTCTTCTTCTTGCTCCTCCGCTGCTCCTCCTCCTCCTCGCGCTCGCGTGCCTTAGCCCTCCGCCCCCACTCGCCTCACTCCTTTCCTCCCTGTCCCCCGCCCTCCGCCCTCTCTCCGCGTGCTTCTCCTCTCCCCTTCCTCCGCCCCCGCCGCTGCTTCCCATCCCCACGGCGCGCCAGCTGACACGTCAGCGTGCTGAGCTGGCAGCGTTCTTCCACGTGGGCATGAACACGTTTACGGACCGCGAGTGGGGCACGGGCCGCGAGGACCCGCGGCTGTTCGACCCGGCGGCGCTCAACGCGACGCAGTGGGTCGACACCGTCAAGGCTGCCGGCTTCCAGGTGTGCGCAACATGAGCGCGGGGCCTTGAGGTGCGCACAACCCACCAGCCACGGGGTGCGCCTCGCGCTCTCGTAATCGTGCGCGCTGGGAGAGACCGTCCCCTCCCTGCGTCTCTCGGGGCGGATTGCGTTATCGCGGTGGGGGCGGCCGTGTGCCGCACGTGATGGCGCGAGGGGGGAGCACGCGTGGGGGGAGCGCGCTATGGGGGAGCGCGCTAGAGGGGAGCGCGCTATGGGGGAGCACGCAAGGGGAGAGCGCGCTATAGTGGGGGTAGTGCGCAAGGGGGGAGCGCGCGAGGGGGCACGCGATGGGAAGCACACGCAGTGGAGGGGGGTGTTTGTGAGTAGCTTTCGCTGGTGATAAGTGGGCAGTGGGCACGCGGCAGGGGACGCGGGCGTGGAGAGGACTCGCCCAACGCTTGCAGGCGCGGTGGTGCTGTTGGTGCCGGGGCAGGTGGTTCACACAAACAGCTGCCCCACCTCTTGTCTGTATCCCACTCCTGCCAGTCTCTGATTATCCCACCCCACACATACCCACAACCGGCACACCTCTTGTGAGCACACCTCTTATGAGCACACCTCCTGTGAGCACACCTGTTGTGAGCACACCTCTTGTGAGCACACCTCTTGTGAGCACACCTCTTGTGAGCACACCTCTTGTGAGCACACCTCTTGTGAGCACACCCAAGGTTCAGAAGCCCCTCCCGGCCTTCACCGTTTCTGCGCTTCTCCTCGACCGTGTCACTTTCTCTCCCCTCTCACCCCCCTCACCCCTCTCGCCCCACTCGCCTTTCGTCCCGCACGTCACTCGTCCAGCTGGTGGTGCTCACGGCCAAGCACCACGACGGCTTCTGCCTGTGGCCCTCGCGCCTCACCAACCACTCCGTGCACCGCTCGCCCTGGCAGGCCGGCCGGGGGGACCTCGTTGCTGACGTGGCGGCGGCGGCGCGGGCGGCGGGCGTGGGGTTGGGGTTATACCTGTCGTCGTGGGACCGCAACGCGCGGGCATATGAGGAGGGCGCTACGGCGTACAACGCCTTGTATGAGGGGCAGCTGCGCGAGCTGCTCACCCAGTCAGTGAGCGGGGATGGGGATGGGGAATGTAGGGCAGTGGTGAGGGCAGTGGTGAGGGCAGTGGTGAGGGCAGTGGTGAGGGCAGTGGTGAGGGCAGTGGTGAGGGTAGTGGTGAGGGCAGTGGTGAGGGCAGTGGTGGGAACTTCCTCTTCACCCCTTCACGTCCTCACTGCTGCCACTAACAACTCCTCTTCCCTTATCCCGCTCCACCTCTCTCTCTGCTCCCGCTTCCACCCTCTCCCCTGCACCGTGCCCTGCCTCCCTGTGGCACCTTCTCTCCATTCCTGCATGTCACCTGCTCCTCTTCCCTCACTTGCTCCCACTCTTTTTCTCTTTCTTTCTTGTGACAACACACCTTCCAACATAAAGTTTTCTTCTCTCATGGTCCGCATCGCCCTCCCATGCTCCCTCTTCCCCACCACCAGCGCCGCTCTACTCACTCCCGTGGTGAGTGTGCGATGCAGCACGCTCATTGGAGGAGCAGCCTGACCCCAAGCCACACCCAAGCCATGTGCGCCGCCCTCCCCTGCCCGCCCGCCTGCGCCCTGCCTTGCGGGTACGGGCCCGTGGCGGAGGTGTGGCTGGACGGCGCCAAGGGGGACCGCCGCCCCATGACCTACCACACTGCCACGTGGCAGGCTCTCATTCGCCAGCTGCAGGCGGCAGCAGCGGTGTTTTCAGCGCAGGGCCCCGACATGCGGTGGGCGGGCAACGAGCGCGATGAGGCGGGCGAGCCGTGCTGGGCCATGGTGAACGGCAGCCAGCTCACCCTGGAGGGGTGGGACACAGAGTGAGTGCCCATGGTGACTGGGGAGGCACTGTGAGGCGAGTGAGGGGTGATTGGGGTGGCACCGGGGGCCGATTGGGGGGCGAATGGGGGGTGAATGGGGGGCGAGTAGGGGGCGAATGGGAGGACAAGTGGGGGGCCGAGTGGGGGAATGAGTGGGGGGAGAGTGGGGGTTGAGTGGGGGGCGAGTGGGGGTTGAGGGGGGGTTGAGTGGGGGGTGACTGGGGGTTGAGTGGGGGGCCGAGTGGGGGATGCGTGGGGGGCAGTGAGGGGGACGTCGTTGCCCTTTTTCTTGCTTCCACATGCGCCCATCCATGCGCCCAACCATTTGCCATCCGTGCGCCCATCCATGCGCCCATCCATGCGCCCATCCATGCGCCCATCCATGCGCCCTCTTGTGCACCACCATGGGTTTGCATGCATGCGGTGTGCTGTATATGCCATCCCCCCGTGCCACGCTCTCTCCTTCACCTCCCACACCTTCCGAGTCCCAACCCATGCCTTTCCAACCCATCCACTCCGCCGCAGCTACCTGAACCACGGTGACGTGGCGGGCACGGATTGGATGCCAGCGGAGTGTGACGTGTCCATCCGCCCGGGGTGGTTCTGGCATCCCTCAGAGCGCCCCAAGCCCCTCCCCCACCTGCTCCACCTCTACTTGGCCTCGGTGGGGCGTGGCTGCTCGCTGCTGCTCAACGTGCTGCCCAACACCACGGGGCTGTTGCATGGGGAGGACGTGCAGCGGGTGGGGCAGTTTGGCCGCGCGCTTCAAGTGCTGTTCCAGGAGGAGGTCAGCGCCGGTGCTCACGTGCACGCCAGCAGCGTGTATGGGTGCGAGGGGGGACGGAGGCGGAAGGAAGAGGAGGAGAGGGATTTACGAAGGGAATGGTTTGGGTTGGGGTTATGGGGGTGGTGGGGGGGTTGGGGGCGAGGGAGTAGGTGTGAGTACGGGCCTGAGAACGTACTGAGGGAGGGGGATGGATCCTTCTGGGCGGCCCAGGATGGGGTGCTGTCTGCCACTGTCCAGTTCGACATCGGGCAGGTGAAAACCTTTCATGTGGTTCGGCTGGAGGAGCCTATGGCGTACGGGCAGAGAATAAAATTGTTCACAGCGGAGGTGCTCGACCCGGACCCTGCTGCTGCAGGCGCTGCCACTCGAGCTGCCCCTGCGGCCGAAGTTGCTGGTTCCGGTGCTTGTGGGTGTGGGCCAGGCGGGTGCAATACCGGGGATGGTGTGCTGCCGTCCCTTCCTGGTGTGCCAGGCCTGGGAGAGCATGCGCTCCACACACTGCATGGCGCCCAGGGGGCAGCACGCAGCATGCTGGAGAGGACGGGGAGTGCTGGGAGGGCGGGCGAGTGGAGGGTGATAGCGAGTGGCAGCACGGTGGGGCGCAAGAGGCTGTTTCGGGTGGAAGCAGTGAGCCCGCGGCATGTGAGGCTCGTCATTCACGATGCCAGGGCTGCCCCGCTGCTCTCCTTCTTTGCGCTCTACAGAAGCGGTGATTTGAGCACCATATGATTTTACGGGCCTTACCAGATCACTGTGCAATACACCAACTCACTGCTCCTGCTGCTGCATCTTCCAGGCCAATCCTACATCTCCCCGCTTACCACTAGCAGTCCTTTATTCGTGCTGTATAGCGGAAAGGAGAATAGAACCAGATGCCTGGTTTTTTTTCAGCTTATATTATGCAGGTCAACAGATCGTGACGTTTTTGCATGTATAAATGGTAATGGATTTTTTTTAAGAAGTAAAATGAATGCCTTGTGACTAGCAAATACATAGCCCTAAAACCTGTGTAACATTTGACACACCCCCACAGGCTAAGCAAGGGGCGACAAAAAGAGCAAGAGAAACAAATGGTCACAAGACCAGTCAATAGAAACAAAAACACAAAGCTTTGGGTGGATCACGAAGTCACCACGCAGTCTCAGCACAAACAAGAGTCGCAATGCCTGTTCAAGAGTTCACATAGATGTACACATATATATACACATATATATACAAATATATACACATATTTTTATAAACACAAACCTAAGCAGAACAAGAAACAAGAGGCATGACTACAGCAATCGAGGGTGTGAAATAACGAGGAATGGATTGACTAAGGGAAAGTTGGGTACAAAAGCAAACCCTAGAAAACTGTACCCCATATGTGCTACCCCACTATAGCCTACAGTAGCTATGTCATATAAATCTGACACACCCCCATAGGCAAAGTGGGGGAGAACAAGGGGTCACAAGACCAGTCAAGCAAAGCAAAGCAAGCTCAGGGTGGATCACAAAGTCACCACACATTCCGAGCACAAGTTCAAGGCCACAAGGCCAGTTCACATACAGGATTGCATATATATATATAAGGCTAGACAAGCAAGAGCAGGTGTATATATATATGCAACAGTACAAACAAGGTCAAGGGGTGAGCAAGTGAGGCAAGGTAGGCACAAGACCCAGCTGAGTACAGAAGCGCTGATGATCACAAGGCGGGAGTGCCTTGGTGAAGATATCAGCAGTGTTGGCCTCAGAGGCCACGTACGCAAGCCGCAGCTGACCACGCTGCTGTAGCTCACGAGCAAGGAAGTAGCGGAGAGCAATGTGCTTCGTTCTGTGCTCCAGTCTCTGCTCTCGACACAAGGCCAGCATGGCCTTGTTGTCTACGTACAGCACTGGAGGAGAACGAGGTGGCTCTCCGAGGTCAGTCAGCAGGTAGGTGAGCCAGCGAAGCTCCTGTGCAGCCATGGCACCGGCGTAGATCTCAGCCTCACAACTGGAGCCGAGAACAGAAGACGAGCGGGTAGCCCGCCACGAAACAGAGCCGGAACCAAGGCTGAAGGTGTAACCCTGTGACGACCGCTGCGTAGCCTGGTCGTCAGCCCAAGAAGCGTCTGCGTGCCCAGTGAGGACCACTGGACTCTGCCCTCCAAGCACAAGCCCCATGCCCGACGTACTGCACAAGTAGCGCAACACCCTCTTGGCTGTAGCCATGTGCTCTGGTCGGTGTCTCCCAGGAGCAACATAGCGTGCCAAGATGCTAAGAGGGTATGCTAGGTCAGGTCGTGTGCAGGTCATCAGGTACATGAGGCAGCCAACAAGCTCTGGGTACGGGCCACTCGGCTCTACGGACTCATCCGAAGGCAGAGCTGAGAGCGAGTGGCGAGTAGACAGAGGAGTGGCCTGAGGCGAGGAGTGCGTGAAGTCGAAGCGCTGAAGGACCTGCTGCACCATGTGTGACTGAGTCAGGGTAATGGTGTGGCGTGCTCTGTCCCGGGTGATCTGCAAGCCAAGGTAGCTGCGCAGTTCACCCAGGTCTGTGCACGTGTGTCTCTTCTGCAGCTCGGACTTCACGTGGGCAAGTCCAGCAGTGTCAGCTGTGGCGAAGACCAAGTCGTCGACGTACACGAGGATGTAGAACGGCGGCAAAGAAGTGTCGGTGCGCAGAAACAGCGACGGGTCGGCAGTAGAGGGAGCAAACCCAAGAGCCGCAAGCGTAGTCCTCAGTGTGTCGTGCCACTCACGCGGTGCCTGGCGGAGACCGTAGACTGGCCGCCGGAGGCTCCACTGGGTGCCAGGAAGAAAGGACCCAGTGAAGCCAGGTGGGCGACGCAGCCAGATCTCCTCGTGCAGGCTGCCCTGCAAGAAAGCAGTGCTGAAGTCAAGAGAGTGCAGCTCGTAGTCGCGGTGAGCAGCTATGTGCAGCAGTACCCGAAGAGTAGTCATCTTCAGGGTGGGAGAGAAGGTCTGAAAGTAGTCAACTCCCTGCCGCTGACTGAAGCCACGAGCCACGTAACGCGCCTTGAAGACAGGCGGAGAACCCGGCGGCCGCTTCACCCTGAAAATCCACATGCCACTGACGATGTTCGCCCCAGGCGGGGGAACCTCGTCAACGTAGGTGCCTGTGGACTTCCAGGAAGCCATCTCTGCGTCCATAGCTGCCTGCCACTGAGAGGAGTAGGGACCCTCTATCGCCTCCGCGTAAGAGCGCGGAGTCGGGATGTCAAGTGCATCCGGGTCTCCCTCAGGGGTAAGCAGTACGGACACGAGATGAGGTGAAGCAGCAGCCAAACACTGGAACTCCTCCTGCCTGTCCTCAAGGACGTCCGTGCCAAGGGCACACTCACCCCCGACGGACGGAGGACAGACAGACTCAGACTCAGAAACAAGACTAGCAGCGTAGTCTAGACGACAGCGAGCAGCAAAGTCGACGAGCTCAGTAACTAGTGCAGACGCAGCAGTGGACTCAAAGGAAGGGTCGTTGACAACAGTAGTAAGGAGACGCGTGACAGTAGGACTGGCAGCACGAAGAGAGTCCGACTCCGGGTCAGGAAGAGCAGGAAGAGAGGACTCAGGAGGAGAAGGCAAAGGGGCACGCAGAGGAGCAGTGGACGGACGCAGAGACATCCGGTGCGTGCCAGGGACAGGAGGAGGACGCTGACGCGAACCACGACCACTAGTGCGAGCAGCACGGACAGGCGACGCAGGGCGAGACGCAGGCTCACGACGCTCAGCAAGACCTCCAGTAGGACCAGTGTAGGGAGAAGGAGTGGGCAGTGGGGAGGCCGGCTGTAACTGTAACTGTGACGGGACAGGCTATGGACACTCTAAGGGAGGAGGAGGACCAGTAGAAGGCGGGAGACCAAGAACCTGCTGAAGGAGTGGAACGAAGTACGGCCGAGGCCGCGCGGCGACTCCAGACACAGCAGGGACAGCACCAGTACCCCCAGCGGCAGCACCAGCGCCAGCAGCACCTCCAGCTCCAGTACCTCCAGCAGCACCAGTAGCACCCCCAGCAGGACCGCCTCCAGGACCGACAGCAGTAGCCTCAGCGCCAACACCCTCAGCAGCTCCAGCTCCAGTCGTATCCGCAGGCCCAGCAGCTCCAGTACTCCCAGTACGAGCACCTCCGGGACCCGCGGCACCAGTACCCTCAGCAGCCGAAGAACCTCCAGCTCCAGCAGCACGCCTCCAGCGCCGGGCAAACCACTCGCGCAGCTCCTGTGGAGAGAGTGGCTCCCGCCGAGACGAAGCACCCGGAGAACCTCCAGGCTCAGCACCGCCCGACGCCACACGAGCAGGCCCAGCTCCCTCAGGCTCCGCACCCCCAGGCTCAGCACCTCCAGGCGTTGCACACCAAGGCTCAGCACCCCCAGGCGTAGCACCCCCAGGCTAAGCACCCCTAGGCTCAGCACCCCCAGTAGTAGCACCCTCAGGCTCAGCACCCCCAGGCGTAGCACCCACACGCTCAGCACCCCCAGAGTCAGCACCCCCAGGCTCAGCACCCTCAGCAGCACCAGAGTCACCAGTAACCTCGACAGGCTTGACTGCGTCTACCTGGGACACACCTGAAGGGGCAGGACCCTGAGGGGGAAGGGGGTCTACCGGGGGGGGACCTGGCACAAGGAAGAGCGGTGGCGGGGGGAGGGACGGAGTGCGGTAGGGGAAGAGGCGGTAGTAGGGGACCGACTCGTCAAACGTGACGTCCTGGGAGGACAGAACACGGCGATAGGTGGGGTGGTAGAACTGCCACCCTGGCGCGTCAGGGGGGAAGCCAAGGAAGACGCAAGGAGCAGCACGAGGGGACAGCTTGTCCGCAGACAAGTCGCGGACAAACGCCCGAGATCCCTAGACACGGAACGCAGATGCATCGCCAACCTTCCCCGTCCACAGCAAAGCTGGGGAGGTCTCCGGCATGGAGACCCTGGGGTGAAGGTTGATCTGATGCGCCGCGTACCGAACCGCAAACGGCCACAGAAAATGGGGGGCAGCCGCATGCATCATGGACGTACGGGCGACGTCCATGACCATGCCAATGCGGCGCTCAGCAATCCCATTTTGCTGTGGAGAGTCCGGAAGCGTGAAGGTCTGGCGGATGCCTCGTGTACGACAGTAGGCTCGCAGAAGGCCAGAGGAGAACTCTCCACCTCTGTCAGAGTGCAGACGCAGAACAGGAAAGTCCGAGCCGAAGCTCTGCCTGAGCTGGAGACGAGCTGCGCGGATCCAGTCGATCAACACCTCAGTGACATCACCCTTGCTGCGCAAGGGGAAGACTGTGGTGTAACGCGAGTAGTCGTCAACCACCAGCAGGAAGTAGCGCTCGTGACCCTGTCCACGGACGCGGGCCGGGCCCCACACGTCCATGTGAAGTGTCTGCAGCGGGGCCTCTGTCGGAGGAAACTGGGAGGAGTGAGGGGCAGCCCGCTGCCGCCCCTCGACACAGGGGACGCAGGTAGGGCCAGGCCCCGGAGGAAGGGGAGGGAGGGACCGGGGAAGACCAGAGACAAGGACACGGGAGGCCATGCCTCGGAGACGAAGCAGGGAGGGGTGACCAAGGCGGTGGTGCCAGAGGAGAGTCTCGTGAGACAGAAGGCGACACGAACAGGGGGCAGACTCAGGACCAGACCTGGACGCTGCAGCAAACACCTGACCCGACGCAGCTACCTGACCAGACGCAGTGACTGGAGGAGACGCAGTGGTCAGTGTGTACAGGCTCGACCCCGGCCGACGTGTAAACGTGGCCA